GATTATAAAATTGGTCCTGTCAAACAAGACTAACACCTGGGAAATATAAATAGAGGGAGGGAACAAAAATGAGTGCTCCACATCTAGCTAAAAGTGGTTAAAAAAAACCACGCCAAGTATCTGCCTCTGAAGCCTACAATATAACATACCAGAGACAAAGAACTAATAATTTCCAGAAAGAAATGCGACTTATATTGCAATCAATTCAAGAGGCAATTGAGCTACATAGAGAAGATTCAAGAAGAAACCACAAAGAGACTAAAGAAAACATGAATAAGATAAATGATCAAGTTCTTAACTTAAAATTTAAACTAGGGAATCCCCAGAAAATGACTACAAAGAAAGAACAAGGAACCCAGAAAACAGAAGACAGGTTAGGAAAAAATGATCCAAAGACAGAGAAAATAAAGGAAGGACACAGACAAAGAAAAATACTGAAGACCCAGAGAAAATATTGGAAATGAAAAGAACACACCATCCCTCAAGACCTCAGAATATACTTGAAGATAAGGAAGAAGATTCTATAGAACAGACTATAGAGCCCTCAGAACACGCGTCAGAAACTGGGAAACAAGAAATGAAAAGAGAAGTTGAGGGAGGAGGAAAGTGGGAGCCTTTCAATGAATATGACTGGGCTGAACTCTCCCTCAGAAATACCTTACTTAAATGGCTTTTCCTATCATAAAGAACACCCATAAAAATTGAGGAAAAATGCTTTGACGATTTAAATACAAGGTTTTGGAAGCCTATCTGGCAAAGAAAGAAAGCTAGAGTTAGACTAAAGAAAATAGAGGACTTGATCGATTGGTTGGGGCTTCATATTACCAAACAGGTATTTGAATATGGCTAGAAACAGATAGCTTTTAGATATTAAAAGACTATATTTAGAAAGATATGATTTATACTTAGTATGATGTATTTTTCTATGAGATGGAAACATGAAAATAACAAGATGGTTTTTAATAAGGGAAGCTTTTCACCTCAATGTAACTACTGTTGAGAAAATCATAATGTATGAAGATATTTTGAATACTGAAGGGAAAACAAAATGGAAACAGGAGCTAGGAAAACAGGGTATTGGTCTAATAAAGTGACTGTAATTGCAAATAAAATTGAGTTACAAATTGGATAGAAAAGATACTATAATTTAAAAGCAATGTTAATAGATACAATATTAGAAAAATATGATGAAGAAACACAAACATGTGTTATATGTATTAATAATAGAAAGAATTGCATTTGTTTAGTGTTTGAAAAGTGAAGAAACATTACTTGAAGAAGAGAGGATTAAGAAAATGTCAGAATGTGCAGAAACTAAGAACGATATTGAAGAACAAAGAAAAGGAAGATATAAAATAATTTTAATATGTATTGTTAAGTAAAAAATGAACCCAGACAACACGCTGTTTATCAAGCACTTATGATTTGTAAAAATTAGAAAATCAATAAAATTTTATAAAAAAAATTAGTACAGATTATCTCTGCTAATGTCTCTCCATCTTTATTCCTAGTGATCAATAGGCTTTTAGATGCAGAAAGTCAATCCATTCCAATATTTCATTTTCAAATTCTGGGAATATTTAACAGGGCTGCAATTACCTGGACCTCGTAGTATCCTATTGTAAAAACTGAAATTATATTAGACATGTTGTATTCCTCTAGAATTATGTAACATTTCTTAAGACCATATCTATCACATTGTTCCACTGAAGCTCAGCAATTTCACATTCAAGTTATTTAAGAATACTTCCTAGACCAATTATTTACTGGTTTTCTATTTGACAGGAATGTTTAGAGCTCTATTTATTGACATCACATCCTCAATCTTTAGTTTGCTTTGCTGATAATATCAATTTTGCCCTGCATCTTCCACCACAAAGATAATAATTCATTTTTCTTCTCAAGATGACCCTGAACATTTTGGCTTAATAAATAGTAGCTTGTGCCTAGCACTAAATTATTGTGGGAAGGCATGTTGAAATTGTCCTCCAGAGTTATTCTATAGAATCTGGCCTATTTCCTAGTTTACTTGATATATGGAAGATATGTATCATACAGCTGTTTTTTTTCTAATCGTTCTTCTGGAGTTTATATTCAGAGATGACTGTATTGTACTAGGTCTTTTAATTCCATCAAGCTTTCAGTATGCTTTCTTTTGAATCAAGGATTCCAGCACCCTGTTCATGCTTTGGAGGTATCTAATATTTGCTTAAAAAAGCACTCTCTATTTTTCTCCACCTCTTTGGTTTATGCATTGTTCCTTGTGGCCTTCTTGACTAGCTGTCATATTCATACTCTTTCACTGTGCTTTACCTACTTATATAGAGGGCTTGGTCTCCATATTCCATAATTGAACTAGCTGTTGCCAATCAATAAAAGAGGATAAGACAAATACCGTGACCATATGGAAAGACAATGTGGAGAGAAGTATTAAGAAGGAATACTGCTGTCAGCAGCCTAATTATATGTGCAGGGTTAAAGGAACTAAGATAGTGTCTCCAAGGACTACAGTTTGAAATGATCCTGAAGAGTGGACTCCTGCATTTTTACTTAGGATCTGTAATTGGAAAGTCAACAACTTTCTCCTTTGTTGCTAAAGGTCAGCAGCCTGATTTGCCCTTGGTTCTCTGATTTTTCCCAAGCTTAGTGAATTTGAATATTATGTTTACTTTTTACTCTGTTTCACAGTCTTATACACCTCTTGAAAACTCTAGGAGCCAAGTTATTTTTCTAGTTCATAATGAGAAAATTTTCAAGAAGATTTTCTTGAAAGTCCTGGTCTCCTATCAGGGAAATTATATTTAGATTTCATTTGGTAAATTAATGTCATGAAACAATTTCCATGTCATTAGCACTGGGATGCACCACAATTGCTAATTCCATTTGTTATTATCTATCTATCTAGAGCACAGGTGTCAAACTCCCCACATCATATGACATGTCGCGACTTATCACAACTTTTTTTGCATTGCCAGAGCTGGGATGTGTGCGGCCTCCATAAGATGTAACCGGCCCTCGGGCTGGCAGTTTGTCACCCCTGATCTACAAAATCTGTGATATGCCCAGCTGATGCAAATTGGCAAGGCATTGTGCAATGTACTGTACTTATACTGATTCTGTATACAGTATACATACCTGTACTTTTCATGATCAGTTTGCCCATCGCTATGTGTCTTGTGATTGTAGAAGCATATCTTCATTTTGAGAGGATGCAGGTTCAACTGCAAGCATTGTACTTCATTCTCAATCTCTTCAAGTAACTAATTCTTTCCCCTGAACTCTCATTCTCTGTAACTGAAGAGGGATAATGCTATCTCATCCCTGAAGTTTCCAACCACTGGATATATAGAAAAAAATAGAATTTAAGTTACAGAATCTTGGAAAATGGACATATATGGATGTTTATATGGTCTTCATTGCTGGTGACTACATTAAAGTGAGGACTCAACTCTCTTTTGCCTTTGATTCTCTAACAGAATATTGATTGAATGAGGAGGATGTTAATCCTTTATTTCTATCACAGATATGTGTTGTTGTGCTATATTTTGGAAATTCACAGGCTAAAACAGGGGTGTCAAACTGCTGGCCCACAGGCCAGATGCGTCATGCCGAAACCACACCCACCCCATTGCTAGCAATGGAAAAAAAATCACAATATGTCATGACACGTCATGTGACGTTGCAAATTTGACACCCCTGGGTTAAAAGAATTCCATCACCCCAAAGTGGTAAGCTTTCATACCTGGTTTCTGGAATTGCCTATTTGCTTAACTGCCTGTTTGTTTGTTTGTTTGTTTGTTTATAAAACAAATTTATATAGCTGCCCAACTCACATACAGTAAATTGTCATTCTAACCCTTTGTTCCAGCTCATGTCTATCTGATCTCTAGGTCTTCCGCCATTTGCTCCTTTTGTTACTTCCAGTACATATAAAGAAGAAAGGCCATTATTAGCCTCTATTACATTTTTGAATATTTTCAAAGAAATTCTGTAAACATTTATAATAAGATAAATAACATTTATTAAATTGTTTTTGTATAAAGTGTTTTTAAATTGCTATACTCAATGGGAACAAAATAAAGATGGTAACAGGAAAATGTTCAAATAGATATATAGGAATGTGTATATTTAAAAAGATTATTAATCAAGGAATGATTTTATAAAGTTATAAGATGATAGATGAGTGCATTGCTTCCAAGCAAAATAAATAAAATGATTGAAACTAGAATATTGATGGTAATTCTGAGAGTTGTACAAACACATTTATAATATGAATTTATATTATAAATAATGAGGATGATTTAAATTTATTAGAATATTACTGCGGCAACTAAATCTGCAAACAATGGGCAGAACGAAATAATATAAAACATTTATTAATGTTTTGTGTATATTAATCATATGTAACTCATTATGTGGCAAAATATTTTAACAATCAAGAACTGGTCTGTTTATCAGTGTTCTTAAAAATGATTTGGGACATAAAAAATAAATACTTTTGCTTCAAACTATTGAATAAATTAAATGTTTAAGGAAGTTCAAATATTAACCATCCCCTCACCAACTTCTTTTACACTTATGCCAAGCCATGATTTTGCATCCATTATCCTTGATTTGTAGGAACCAAATGTGGAACTTAATTGTTTTATGTAAAATATAAAGTTATATTGTGAAGTAAACCTTTATTTGTATGGCTACCATAAGAACAGTGTAATTTGTCACTATTACGATATTCAGGATCGAGCTTTAATCCCAACTCATAACACAGCATTAACCTTCTTTCCCTTGCTGTTTTTTTCCCCCTTTTTTAGCACATTACTTCCTGGCCTATTCTTGCTTTCAGATTCATGGGTCATTTACATTACCTGTATTGTATTACCTTTAGTAATAAACTTTAATATTACATAATTTGAATGCAATTAGATTACTTTGGTGGGGTGAATTAAGACTGCCAATATGAATAGAAGGGCTAGAAATTCATGTGTTCTGTTTGTCAACAGGGCAAGTACATCATGGTCAAGTATCCTATCTTGTTCCTCCAATTCATCTAGACTCAGATCATGAAAAACAATCATTTAAGGGTGAGTTGCTAATTAAATCATTCTACACTGAAAAGATTCATTTGTTAATAAGAGTTTGTCTACATATTGATCCCACAAAATTCTTGAAAGGATTTGCTGTTGATGAACAGATTTGAAACAGATTTATTTCTCTGGAATAAGATTTAGTCTGTATTTTATTGCAATATTTTCATACATTTAATTCATGGTTGTTTTTCTAATACTTTTGTTATACTATCTTGTTCAGAATGAATCAAATAATTCCCTAAAATTCAGATTTAATATGTATAATATAACTGAACACACACTTTGTTAATCTAGTTGTGCTATGTTCTATTCATATTTCATATTTAATTTTTTATTTTTGTTTTCATTTATATTTAATATTTTCCATTGTAATATGGTTTGTTACTATTCTTATAACCTGCCAATGTCATTTTTTGTGAGATGAGCAGCTTATATATTTGCTAAATAAATAATTATAGAAAACAAAAAAGTACACCACTAATCTCAAAACAATTTAGAGTCATCAAAAATGATAACAGGGTAAAAAAGATACTGGCTATCAAATTTAGGCTATAGTCTAGTGGGTGAACAGAAGTATTCATATTGTATTTTATTTTATTTTTTTAAATTTTTATTAAGTAAACATTTAAAAACAGATTGAACACAGTGTGACTTTTCCGGCTGTTATTTTGCCATACATACTTTACCGTATACCATATATCTTCCTAGTCATTGATCTTTTATACCATTTACATATTGCATTTTACACTATTTACATATTTATATATTTACATACATATTTACATCTATTTATAACATAATTTCCATTTCCATTCTTATTTCATATTCTTTCTGATCTCTATCTTATGCTCACTTTGAGGTTGAAAATCTATATTTTGTCTCTTCTAGACGAGCTTTCTTTCTTCTGACTTTTTCTCCTCGAATCTAACCAATAATACATCTTGTCCCAAACTTTATAATACTCTGTTTCATCCTTGTCCTTAATTTCTAAGGATAATCTACCCATCTCTGCACATATCAAAAAAAAGTTAATTAGTCCACTCTCCACTGGGGAATTTCCATTTTTCCAGTTCTGGACATACACCAACCTAGCTGCTGTTATAATATGCAACATTAGATATGTCTCTCCTTTGTTGAACTTCCCATCTATCATTCCCAATAAAAACAATTCTGATCTGGAATCTATCTTCAATCCCAACATTTCCTCCAGCCAGGTCTTTATTAGCCGCCAAAATTCTTTGGCTTTGGAACAGGTCCACCATGTGTGATAATAAGTACCTAACATTTTCTTGCACTTCCAACATTGTGGCGATATATCTTTTCTCATCTTTGCCAATCTTGTTGGGGAGAAATGCCACCTGTAAAACATTTTATACAGATTCTCTTTATATGAGGAGGCCAAGGTTAGTTTTCTATTTCTGTCCCATAACATTTGCCATTTGTCTAGGTCAATATTATATCCAAAATTTTGGGCCCATGTTATCATCATTTCTTTAACCTGCTCCTCTTACATTTTATATTCCAATAAATATTTATATGTTCTTTTGATTGCTTTCTCCTCCATTCCTAATAATATTTTATCTAGTGTTATCAAACTTCTCCGTATACCCCATTCCTTTTTGTCTTTCTTATAATGTGACTGAACTTGCAGGTATGCCCACCATTCCAATTGTACCCCATTTTCTTTTAATTCTTGTCTAGATTTAAATTCCCCTTATTCATTTAAAATATCTCCGTAGGTGACTACTTTTCCCAAGTTCATAAAGTTTGGATGCACTAGCGCTTCCAGTGTTGAGAGCCATGCTGGTGTTTCTGTATAGTTCTGTTGTTTAATTTTAATCCACACATTGAGTAATGCTGCTCTAATATAGTGTCTCTGGAAGTATTGATGAACATTATATCTCTCATCCCACAAAAATGCATGCCATCCAGATTGTAAATCATGAAGTATCCATATTTTCAATTACTTTCCAGTTTAAGAATTCAAATTTTTATCTTTTATTTCAGTAGCAATATATAGTGCTGCTATGCATTTATATCAAATATTTTAACAGTGGAAATTAACTCTACTGTCTTCAGCTTTAAAGGGATGCTCTGGCAGATGGTTTGTCTGAATGTTTATCTTCTGTAATTTGCTACTGATCTGGATAAACCTTTATGTATTAATCTGATAGAATAGATAAATGTCATATCTTCCAAAATAAAAAAGGGGGGAGAGAATCCAGATAATTAAAGACCACTCAAGCTGTCATTATTACTCAGGAAAATTCTAGATCCAAACAGCACTTTTAAAATAATATGATAATTACTAAAAGTAAATATGTAATTCTAGAGAACAAAAATTGCCAAATAAATCTTATTTCTTATTTTTATCAGATATCTTCTTTGGAGATTCTGGGAAGGCACATAAGATATAAATATATCTTCTTTGTAACAAAGTGATTGATCCAGTGAACATTCTAATTAAATGTAGGCTAAATGACACAAGTCAATACATAGGGGGCTTGAAAGTCAACTCAGAACTTTTATCAATTTGGGGAAAGTATTGTATAGAAGGTCAAAAGATTCAATATTTGTCCTGTATTCTTCAACAATTTTTATTAATGAGATGGATGAAAAGATGAAGTGAATATTTACCAGCTCTGTAGATTGTCTAAAATTGGGTGACATAGCTACTCACCAAACTTAAAAAAAAAAAAAATCCATCTTCATGTGTTAGAGAAATTGCCTGAGAAATAACAGGATGAAATTTAACAAGAGATGACCTAAATTTGGCTTGGGTCTTTTTCTTGTGAGAAAGAATTTGAAATAGCTGTTACAAATCAAATATAAATCAATAGAATATTGATGGCTACAAAAGGATCAAATACAATATGGATTGGAATTAACAGAAATATAGTTTTCAAATCATGAAAAAAATGGTGCATTTTCTTTCTATGGTGGTCAGATTACTCAGTGAGAAGGATTCAGAGAAACTGAAACAGATTCAAGAAGGGCAATGAGAACAATCAGGGATTGAAAAATAAATATTCCATTGAGAGATTTAAGCTACTTGGAATGTTTACTACTGAAAATAGACCTGAAAATAGAACTGCAAAAACTCAAATATGTCACACAGAAAGTAGCCAAAATTTATTCCTGATTTTAAGGAATGAAAGAGATGAAATAAATTTCAGAAATAAAGATTCTTATTGAAAATTGGACAGGAGAGGAAGTAGGGAAGGTCTTCTTAACCATAAGAACAGTTTGTGAAACAAATTTCCAGAGCAGCTAAGGGTTTTCTTTCATTCAAATGGGCAACAATTTATAGTGGAGCTTCAAAGAAAGAAATTAATACCAAAGATTCTTGAATGTCTAAAATGAGAATGAAATTAATTGGGATTGGTCCATTAAAACACATACATTCCTAGCTTTATGTTGGGAATGTATTTAAGCATCAGCTTGAGTTTGGGCAATGAAAAACCATATTGTCTTAGTAGAAGCTAAATTAGAAGAAAAGGTAAACACGAGCTTGGTTCAAAGGCAGGCAGACAACCACCTTTATGAGGATTTGATAGGGGGCGATGCTAATCTCTGTTTCGGAGGTCTTAGATCAATGGAGACTACGTAAGACAAATATTAAAAACAAATAAACTTTATATTTCAGAATAAATGTGTATTATCACTACATCACTCAGTAATTTCTTCATGGACGAGATCAAATCTCCTTCCTATCTTTTTTTGCATTTAGATGACAATTCCCCAAAGCCAAAAAAAAAAAAACCCTCTTACAGTCCATTGGTGTTACACTCTTATGGAACTATTCTTATGGGTTCTATTACTATTTAATTCTTTTAGTGCCTTCAAGAAAAAGATCCAATAGTATCTATCGCATATCCTTACAGTCAGATCACTTGGGCCAATGGACCTTCTGCCTTCCTTTTAAGAATCAGGTTCATTTCTGCATTCTTCCTAAGGATGCACCACAGCAGATGTGGAAGGAAGATCGAAAGCCCTACCCATACCTATACCCCTTGGGATGCAAGCCCTATCCCTTTTGTATATGCATTTACTCTTTTTCAGTCTCACCTTTCCAGTATTCTTGTAGGACTATAACCTAAAGAGCTTCTTTAAAAAGTGTAGCTCCTTCTTCAGTGTCTTACATTGAAGCTCTTGGTTACTCCCGATCAAAGCTTTACCATCAAAGTGTTTGTCCACTTCAGAATTTTTTTTTAAAAAAAGGGCAATAGTACAGAAAAATTTTCTCTTGCCTTTCTAATTTACCATTTTTATTTGACTTGTCAAAATGATAGGTAAACCATTTTAGATACTGTAAAGTTACTTTAAAAGCTAATTATTCTTGAAAAGAAATTTATTTAAAATTTTTTTCTGAAAATATTTAAAACACTCCTCAATGGAATTAAGAGAACCATCAAAGGCAATTTATATCATATTTATATATTATTTTCTCAATAATGAATTGCTCTATCATTTAAGATACATTAAGTAAAAATTAGACTAATTATAACAGGTTTAAAAGCATAAGATAATAACAAATAGAGGAGATAAAACTTTCTGGTTCAGTGTGTTTAAGCATGACTGTGGCTAGACTACACTACACTTTAACATATGTTTGCCTTTAGCAAACATTCTTGGATTATATCGTTGATAGTTTAAGGATGAAGAATAATCCAAACCTACAGATCAATGTTCTTGATCCTGTTATGCTGTTTAATATTGTGTGCTATCTTAATTATTATTTTGTACCAAGGTCATATAAAAAAGTTTTGTACTAAATATTTTGTACTTCAACTTTTATTACTCCAAGAAATATGGCCAATGACATGACATTTTGGGAGATTTAGACCATCTAGAAGACATCAGATTGCCTGCTCTGAGTATAAACTAATTTCATAGAGTGACATGTTAAAATGATATCCTTCTTTTCTTATTGCCGGTGGCTATATAACGATAAAGTCTTATGTCACTCAATCAGTTGATAAAAATATGTAAAA